ATGTCAGCCCATGTCGGTAGTCGGTTAATATTTTTCCTGTCGGTAGTCGGTAATTTTTTACTCGTTTTGTCGGTAGTCAGTACTATTTTTCGCCCTCTGTCGCTAGTCGGTTAACCCCATTCACACCCTCAGAAAAGCTAGGGATGACCCTTTCTCTCGCCAGTCCTCCCCCGTTGTTTTCGCTCGCTCTCTTTGTCTTGTTGGTGTAAGTCTTCTTCGTACAAGTCTTGTTCGTCTTATCCGTACCCGTCTTGTCTTGTTCTTTTTGTCCGTAGCTAGAATATCTCGTTTGAGGTTCCCTTTGACAACGGTTTCTTGCTAGATCCAAATTCAACTCTGGGATAATAAAGCCAGCTGCAGGCAAACAGGCGCCCCAGTTCCACCTGGTTTGCACTTATACAGGTGGTGAGAAAACGGGTTAGTTTTCAAGATCCCGAGAACGAAAATACACCAAAATTTCCCATCATCAAAATATGATATTAAGCAGCATTCTGACACTACTTAAGAATAATTTGTGTCATTTATAACGTTTTTATTAAATAATCTATCACGGCTTTTGAAAATTTAAGGTTTGAAATAAATTTTTGGTTAGTCGAATTCAAACATACAGAACTTTTTATTTCTTTTCCGAGATCGTTTGCTAAACACCAAACTTTAAGTTCCTAGTGTTGGATTTTCAGTGGCTGGTCTAGATCACATAAAATTCGGCTTTTACCAATTTCAAAGTTTTTTGTTTATTGTTGTCATAGTAATATCGATTTTACTTAAGGTGATTGAAAAATATCGGCATAGCCCCGATCTGAAAAACTGTATCGAAACACCTTAAACAATCGCAAATGATCGGCACTGTGTTACAGCTCCTACCAACGACTTGCATTAATTCACCCTTGCTTTCACGACTTGACTAAGATTACTAAAGACGGGTTAAAAACCGAAAATTCTTATCATAAATAGTGCAAATAAGACTGCTTTTTTTAAGGTGAACTTTGCTTCTGATCGAATTATGCAAGATAAATTGTGACATCTCAATAAAGGGCGGAAAATAGTGCTCCACTCTTGTTTGGGCACAACAAACTTGTTTCGTCATAAGCATTCATCGCGGTAGCCCTTAAATTTATGGCGATACACATTAATTTTATCTTCTTCTACTGAAGATGCTCTTGGAATAGCTTAAGCTTTCAATGCCTTTCGCCTAGTTTTCTAAACAATAGACATTTTTCCTTAACTGACACACTTATCAAAAAGTCCATGTATACTCATTTTTTACTTTTCGAGATAGGCTTTTTGAAATGCAATTCATTTGAAAAAAAAAATGCATGTTTGTTTGGTCACAGGACTGGGTTTAAAATTTGTTCGGAAATTATGAATCGAATAACCTTAAGAAGCTGAATTGACTACACTAGTTTTTTACTGAAGTTATTCTTTCCCGAAAAGCAAACGTCTGGCTCATTTCCTCGATTTTTACTTTAATGATACAACCTTGACATACTCCATATTTTATACTTTGCAACTTTATGGGCAATGAGACAAAAAATTACATAAGTGAAATAAAATTAAATAAGCGGGGAGATTAGAAAAATTATTTACAAATGTTTCCGTGAAAGCTTCTGAAACCCTATGATACTGATGTCGTGCGTGTCCTCAAACAAGAACCAACAGGTGGCGGCAGTCGATACTTATGACCTCCCCACGTGCTTGCATCGTGTGGATTGGAGTTAACAGAGTTTTTATAATGACCTCGCATCCGTAGTCATTTCAGCTATTGAAGGGAGGAGATCTAATTGAATTAATCGACGGGAAAAGTGGCTGACTGAGGTACCAGTATATATAGCTTTAAATATGACACGTACTCAAATATTATTGTCAACAACCGGGCGAGCGAAGATGCAAGGCCGACGAGGCTGTGATAGCATTTTATAGCCGTTGCGCGAGGTGTTTTATAGGCGAGAAATATCTCGGCTGGCTCAGTGTAAGGTAGGGAAAGGAGTATATTTAAAGAAATTTAAAACAAGCAGTAATACAAGAACCAATCAGAGTCCTCCTTCAAAGAAAACGTTTTGCAGGTTTTGGAAGCTTGCATTCTCAATAGATTTTTTCGCCGAGGCACAACTCACTCTTTTCAGTTTTATTTTATTTCGTATTTCAAACCGTGTCAGGAGTTTTTCTTTTTCAAACGGACGTTTGAATTGGCTTGTAATACTTGAGCGAACTTGCGTGATCGTGACATGTTAAAAGGATTTCTAGCTTGACACGCACGGTTGAGAGAAAAAGTTCTCCGCACGCAATGCTTTTTTCCCGCTTGATTTTTTCCTCTTTCCATTTTTTTTCTTTCTTCTCCCCTCTTCCCCCCTCCCCCCCGCAGCAGCTTTTAAAATTTCTTTCTATGCATTTTAACTATTAAATCCTAAAAAAGAAAAAATAAACAGAACAAATTCAGGACTACAATTATCGTCAAAATTGTTGGGAAGGCTGTTTTTTATTTTTACCTCTGTTTTTCCTTCCTTCCCCCGCCCCTGGCCCAATGTTAAGCAAGACGTTAATGTTTGGGATCGTAATTGTTCTGTTATATCCCAACATTGAATAGGGGGGAAGGGGGATATTTAGCAAAAGTGAAAACTTTCCTTTGTGACGTTTAAAATGGACTACTGTTAACTTGTATAAACTTCCCAACTACTTTTGTCTAGCTGGGGTTATATTGTAGTACGTCGTTATTCAGTAGGGAAGGTGCGAAGAAACAATGAAAGCCGAAAGGAGAGAGAGTGGTAGCAATTTGGTTCACTCGATTTCTGGATTACATGTTAAGACGGAATCTATCAAGAACTTGACTAATTTTAATTTTCAATGAACAAAAACCTTGTACCAGAATTATTTAAAGCATATTACATTGATTTATTACAGGTTTCAAGGCGGTTATCGATGTAACTAATAATTTTTAATGACACCAAAGAAAATTTCTTCCAATTCTTCCAATTTCACAAAATGATATTACACATAATATTTTACCTGTGTTTTCACAATTCCTGTGAAATTTGAACCTTATTTTCTCGGGCTCCCCTGACAAATTTTCTTTGGTATTATAACGTATAACACTGCAGTGAAATCCCACCTTTCGTTGGGCATAACGACATTTTAAGAGGCAAATGTAAAATTAATAGAACCACATGCCAATGAAATAAACTAATGCAACAGTTTCCTCGGGACTGCGGTACGCCCCTCCACCTCCCCCTTCAATCCTCTTTTTGCCCTCGCGCCAATTTTCTCCACCATCTCGCGCGTAAACACTTGGCTAGGCAGGGCGACTTGGGAAATACAGCCAAATATCCTTCCAACGCATAAAAGCCTACTTCAGTATTTTTTAAGAAACCTAAACTTAAAGAAATGAATCAAATCACAACTCGAAACCAGGAGCTGCTCCGGATATGACATACCAAAAAGGGCATGTACTAAAACCTGAAACAACAAAACGAAACCAGCGAAACGGTCGTAACGACCAAAACGAAATCACCAGAACAAGAGTAACGGCCGAAACGACCAGAGCGACTCACGAAAACAAGCAAAACGGCTGAGATGACAACACAAAACCACTAGTATAAAAATTGAAAAAAAAAAGCAAAAGCTAGAATATAGATAAAGTTGTCGCTATCTCCTCTAGCTCACTTAGGCACTTCCTAAATACGGCTATTTTGCGAAAACTGTTCAACAGAAAGTTCGTCAGTATCACTACCGGTTATTGGCACACCGGTCTGTGAGTGATCCCATCTCCAAATAGCCTCCTATGCAGCTGACCTTATATACTTTTCGCACGCCAGCTCATACCGCGAAAATGTAGGCCCCTGCTCGCAGGGTACCGTTGGGCACTCAGCCATAACTACATACAACTGGTATTCAGTTTAGTAAAAGCCGGAATTGACGCGCGCATACGAGTAACGCGAAGTATTGTCAATTTTCTGGTTCTTTATGATGATAAAAGCGATAAAAAAACTAGCGTTTCTCATGTAGGGTAATCATATTGAACTTTGTACATTTGAAATATGTCTTTCTTTGATCGAAGTTTAAAATCTCAAAATCAGCGAACGCCCAATAAACGAATGACCGTAAGATTCAATAACAGGGCCAATTTTTGTCGATCAGTGATTTCAATGTCTGGGGTACACTGTCCATTTGAAAGTGAGTATAACATCTACGAGTCTAAATTTCATGGCAAATGAACAAATAGCGTAGCGTGCGAGTGGCGTCAGAGTGACTAATTTGCAATCTTTGTCTGAGTTTTGCCATTTTTCTCGTTTTAATGACAAAAGTCAGACAAAAGTGAAGAATTCACTAAATGTTAATTTCAGTTAGTGTCTGAGTTTTGGATCTATACAACAACAACAACAACATAAGCTTTATTTGCATGACTATAATTATGTAGTTACAGTATTGCAAAAGCTTTAACATAAAAAACAAACAAACAAACAAATCATAACAATGATAATGCAATGCAATGATTACTATAGACAATCAAGTGTCATCAGCATGATTTGATAACAAATGATTACGTAAATCATTACATAATGAGACAAATTTCAACAAATGTGAATTTACGGAAAAATTCTGTGAATTCATCAATTTAATTATTAATTCTGTATATGTATATATGTGTATATGACAGAAATTTTTTTATTTGCTTGATAGAATCTATACAGTGTTTTGATAAGGAAAGCAAAAAAATTTTTTCGATAGCGATTTTTCTTCCCCGTGTTTTAACCTGCCAAAAACGTGAAATTTTACTTCCGGTGAGCTACAAAACCGCGCTAGCGAAAACAGAAGACTGGGAATGATTATGACGTCATTTCAGCACATTCTATTTCGCGGCAGGCAAATGACCTGGTCATGTTCGTATTTGTGTGGCAGTGTTTGGAGAATGTTTTTTTAGTTTCCCTGACTTTTTTTGATCAGAAACAGCAGAAATCAATAAAAAGTCGCTTAAGCTCGAATTTAATTGACTGTGAAAAAGAATAATGCGTTTTGAAAGCGATACGGAACAGTCAGACGTGGAATCGATCGGGTCGCGCACTCACATCTGCGAGACAGAGCTAGGATCAGACGAAGATGAAGAAGATATGTACTATTCAGATCCAAAAGGACCGTATATAGATGAACCTATTGCAGACGAGGAATGGCTAACAGAATACAACCGAGAACTAGAAGAAATTGAAAGGAGAAACCAGGAGTTACAAAACCGCTTTGACAAGATTGCCGAACCCGAGACTTGGTAAGTGTTCGCTCTATTTCTCACCTTTTAATTATTAGCCTGAAATCGTACTAAGATCATCACTTGCCGATAAAAAGAAAAGGATAAAAGTTGAATTCTTCAACTTAAATACTACGTTCCTTCTTTTTAATTTCAAAGTTGCCCATGTGGCAATTGTACTCTTGATCGGCTGCAAAATCCACAATCATGGCTGTGTTCTAATACAAATATTGAAGGAGCCCAGTGTAGCCCTGAACCTGTGAAATCAAGGATGCCTAGCATAGTATTATAATCTCTAAGATTTTCTTGTCGCCGTAGAGCAGAAGTTATGTGCTAGGGGTCACCATGTGCTGTTAGAACACAGCCCTATCCAAGGCTAGCTGAGCCTTCTGCCCCTCTCAAGTCACTTTTTTCTTTGGGAAAATCTTTTTTTGGACATCTAGGGATTTTTATTGTTATCAATATTACTGTTATAATCAAGAAAATGATAAATATAGCCATTAAAGCAACATATTACATCTTTTGTTGTAGAAATAGGAACTGGGATAGCCCAGACTTTTTGAATTTTGATTTTTTTTTGTTTGGCTTTTGTTTTTGTTTTTTTGTTTTTTGTTTTTTTCTTTTTAATAAATCAATCTCAAGCAGCATTCGTAAATTGCCTATACGTAGCAAGATTTACAATATTGTACATTCAAAAAAACAAATAAAGTTCCCATTATTATTATTATTTTTATTGTTACATATTATTATCATTTTATGAGCAATGAAGGTGGACTAAATATATTTTTCCTATTTTGCTTGCAGTATCTGTTGATCTTGCCCAAGAGGCAGCTGCAGCTACAGCACAGTCATCACGTGGAGGAAGAACAAGGAATTGCAATGTTTGCAAAAGACCCATGAGAGGGCACAAACTTCTAGTTGATTGTCCAAGGAACCAGGCACGACAAAACAGTAGACAGTGATAGCAGACCTTTTTATTTTTTATTTTGAGGCAAAGTCAATAAGTTGCCTGGTAATTGCTTAATACAAACTGGGAGAGAGTTTCATCACCATTATTTCAAGTCACCCTCGCACTGTAGATAATTAAGATACAGATAGTTTCTGTGCAATCGGCTGATGTTTTGAGTCAATATTAGTCCAAACTAGTATAAAATTTGTCAATGGACTCTGTTTTGCTATTTGCATTTTAAAATAATGATGGTGATAAAGGCAATATCTTTATTCCTTATCTTCAAAACCAACAAATTCTTCATTCTCTTCTGAAAGTTCTGTTCTTATTGCATGGTAGGCACATGCTGGCAGTGGAATCCGCTTTCCCCCCAAGAAAACCATGTACTAGTTGCGTAAACTCTCTGTAGACTACTCCACGAAGAAACCTGTGTAAAAGAATGAAAACATAAAAATAAATATTCAAGTCATGACCTCGCCCTGTATTTCAACTCTGTGAGCCCAGCATTACCACATGACCAGTGGCAGATGCATTTCTATTCCAATCGTGCCCTTTCTTTGTGTCTCTAAAATTCCCATTTCTTTTAACATCTTATGAACTGAACATTATCAAATCAACTGTTGAATATAGCTGAAAATAGGACCAGGGTTGAAAAGTAGAGCAGAGTAAGAAAAGATGAAAGTAGTCAGCAAAAGATGAGATCAAAATGCTTTGTGTGGGGTTTGGTGTGGCTGGCAACCCCCCCTTCCCCCCTCCCATATACACACACACCCAAGGCCAGAGAAAAGTTTGATTTTAGGGGTTCTGCAAAGTACATTTTGCTCTATTCTTTATCATATGTTTTTGTAATATAGTGATTCTACTCAACCGATTAAACAGGTAGTAGAATGGAACACGCTATCATGCATTATTTCTATTGTCTTCTAAATTGTAGCTGTTTATTGTCTGTTTCATGGGTCAGGTAAAATCTCTCTATTATACAAAATAATGGGCAACAAAAACAATCGATTGATTATCTTTCTCTTAAAATGGTGTTTGAATAAATAACCACTGCTTCTGTTGCAACTGTCGGGCGCTTTTGCCGGCTAACGTTGCTTTTGGGGAACACAGTAAATAAGCAATTAGAGATAGCTCTGACAGAAAAAACTGGGCAAAACATTACTCACTTTTCTTCTCTATCAGTCTGACGATACTTTGTACCGTCTATCCTCTTGTATTTACTTGCGGCTCATCGGAGAGACCATCTGTTAAGGCAAACGACACTGAAACCTGGATGCAATGTAATACATTCGGGACCGATTTCCACCTCATTCAGAACGGCGGTACTACCAAGTGATTCGACGCACTTTTCGATTTCCTTGCAGCAGAGGCATTCCCCGAAATTTTGGAGCTGATCAAGAGCACAATTGCCACATGAGCACCTTTGAAATTAAAAAGAAGGAACGTAGTATTTAAGTTGAAGAATACAACTTTTATCCTTTTCTTTTTATCGGCAAGTGATGATCTTAGTACGATAAGATTTCAGGCTAATAATTAAAAGGTGAGAAATAGAGCAAACACTTACCAAGTCTCGGGTTCGACAATCTTGTCAAAGCGGTTTTGTAACTCCTGGTTTCTCCTTTCAATTTCTTCTAGTTCTCGGTTGTATTCTGTTAGCCATTCCTCGTCTGCAATAGGTTCATCTATATACGGTCCTTTTGGATCTGAATAGTTCGATTTCTGGATTACATGTTAAGACGGAATCTATCAAGAACTTGACTAATTTTAATTTTCAATGAACAAAAACCTTGTACCAGAATTATTTAAAGCATATTACATTGATTTATTACAGGTTTCAAGGCGGCTATCGATGTAACTAATAATTTTTAATAACACCAAAGAAAATTTCTTCCAATTCGTCCAATTTCACAAAATGATATTACACATAATATTTTACCTGTGTTTTCACAATTCCTGTGAAATTTGAACCTTATTTTCTCGGGCTCCCCTGACAAATTTTCTTTGGTATTATCACGTATAACACTGCAGTGAAATCCCACCTTTCGTTGGGCATAACGACATTTTAAGAGGCAAATGTAAAATTAATAGAACCACATGTCAATGAAATAAACTAATGCAACAGTTTTCTCGGGACTGCGGTACGCCCCTCCACCTCCCCCTTCAATCCTCTTTTTGCTCTCGTGCCAATTTTCTCCACCATCTCGCGCGTAAACACTTGGCTAGGCAGGGCGACTTGGGAAATACAGCCAGATATCCTTCCAACGCATAAAAGCCTACTTCAGTATTTTTTAAGAAACCTAAACTTAAAGAAATGAATCAAATCACAACTCGAAACCAGGAGCTGCTCCGGATATAACATACTAAAAAGGGCATGTACTAAAACCTGAAACAACAAAACGAAACGAGCGAAACGGTCGTAACGACCAAAACGAAATCACCAGAACAAGAGTAACGGCCGAAACGACCAGAGCGACTCACGAAAACAAGCAAAACGGCTGAGACGACAACACAAAACCACCAGTATAAAAATTGAAAAAAAAAGCAAAAGCTAGAATACAGATAAAGTTGTCGCTATCTCCTCTAGCTCACTTAGGCACTTCCTAAATACGGCTATTTTGCGAAAACTGTTCAACAGAAAGTTGGTCAGTATCACTACCGGTTATTGGCACACCGGTCTATAAGTGATCCCATCTCCAAATAGCCTCCTATGCAGCGCTGACCTTATATACTTTTCGCACGCCAGCTCATACCGCGAAAATGTAGCCCCTGCTCGCAGGGTACCGTTGGGCACTCAGCCATAACTACATACAACTGGTACTCAGTTTAGTAAAAGCCGGAATTGACGCGCGCATACGAGTAACGCGAAGTATTGTCAATTTTCTAGTTCTTTATGATGATAAAAGCGATAAAAAAACTAGCGTTTCTCATGTAGGGTAACAGGAGCCCATCTCCTGAGGGTAATCATATTGAACTTTGTACATTTGAAATATGTCTTTCTTTGATCGAAGTTTAAAATCTCAAAATCAGCGGACGCCCAATAAACGAATGACCGTAAGATTCAATAGCAGGGCCAATTTTTGTCGATCAGTGATTTCAATGTCTGGGGTACACTGTCCATTTGAAAGTGAGTATAACATCTATGAAACTAAATTTCATGGCAAATGAACAAATAGCGTAGCGTGCGAGTGGCGTCAGAGTGACTAATTTGCAATCTTTGTCTGAGTTTTGCCATTTTTCTCGTTTTAATGACAAAAGTCAGACAAAAGTGAAGAATTCACTAAATGTTAATTTCAGTTAGTGTCTGAGTTTTGGATCTATAAATAATAACTGCGCGCAGCACTACATCAACCACGCCAAAGCAGCGAGGTGGAACAGCTACTATGTCACGTGATCATTTGATAACCAGTGCGTTCTTTTGTTTGGGAAAATATGCTTCTTCGTGAAATCTAACAGCTTCATCAGTACAACCAGTATCCCATAAAATGACTTTATAGAAGTGACTCAATTAGTGTCAGTTGACTTACGAGTTTCAGTATATCGTGACTCACAAATAAGATGGAAGCAAATAATAAGCAATTATTGGATGAATATTTTTTTTATTGTTTTCGACCTAACGTGGGCAGTTTCTTCTAATAACGGGTTTACTTTTCGTGACTTTAGAGAACAGGGTCGGCCAGGGGGGGGGG